CACAGAAATGGTTCAAGCGTTTCAAAAATCAATAAATTTTCATAATAGCCACAAAACCAGATCAAAAACACAAAAAAAAATATATAAAAAATCATTACTTTAACACGGCGCACGAACTTTTTCCTCAACCTAATATTTTCGCACATAAAGACTGCACAATCAAGTGTCATCATTGTCAAGGTAATCATATCTCCACCGATTATAAATGTCCAGTGATTGCAGAATTTCGAGGGCGTTTAATTGAGGAGTTAAAAAGAAATCCTGAACGTCTTCCATCTGACGTGCAATTCTTTATCCCTTCATCTTATCGATATAAATACGATCGTTCAAATATTATTTATAATCGTAAATCATATGAACAACAGATTTATCATCAACAAACTGAAACACCTAATTTTTGGTTCAACCAAAGTGATTTTCCTCTTCTGAGACCAACCATAACAACGTCTGATAAAACTAATTCTACACTTATTTAAAACTTTAATGATAATATTAAAAAGCTATCTGACGATTTGAATGATCTGAAAATCAGACACGAACAAGAGATGGAAAAAATTGAAGATAAATACAAGCATAGCATGATGTTAATGAGTCAAGCCTGTATATTTATGCAGCAGTGTCAACAAAGTCAAGAACAAATGATATATACTATGAGTAAAGCTGTGAGCAGTACAATGTTTCAGACCTCTGCAAAAATGACTGAAGTTCTTCATTTATTAACTCTAAAGATTAAGAAACAATTCAAAGACAATTCAGAATTTGATGAAGCTATTCAACAACTTAATTCACAAATGTTATTCATACAAGAGACACATAGTGAATATTGTAAATATCAAGAAGAGATGACAACTTTATCTAAAAAACAAAATGAATTTATGAAAAATGCCGTTGATTCTTTTTATCAGTTTAACAATGTATAGTGATTTCAAATACTGTGTGCCATATGTAGATTATCGATTGATTGACAACTTCGATGGAACTGAAGCTGAAAAAGACTGCTTATACTCTATTTTTGGTGAGTGGAATGAAAAAGTGTGTGTGACTGAGTTATGTGCTAGGTGGACTAAGGTCAGACCTTATGTTTTTACTGAAAATCTTAGAATTCTTTTATGGAACTGTGAACGTCTGTCTACACATATGTTAAATCTTGATTCTTTTCTTTCTTCTCATTCTCCTCATGTTTGTGCGCTGACAGGCGTAGGAAAACAAATAAGCAGATTTGCCTCCCATTCCGAATTATAAATGGTTTTCACTAAAAGGAACGAATAGTTTTGGTGGGGTTTGCTTTCTTGTGCATGCCAAAATTAACTGTGTTGTAGTAGATTCAATATAAAATTTCCTTTTGTTAGAAATGCAAATTTTGAATGAAAAACTCTATATCGCAAATGTTTATGTTCCTCCAAGCTGTACACCACCATTCGAAATATTTGAAAAACATAAAGAAAAAAATATTTATATTTTTGGAGATTTTAATTGTAAACATACAGATTGGAATTCTGAAGTCTAATACTAGTGGAAATAAACTTCATTCGTGGTTAGAGGAGAACGGTTTCACTACTATTCACTCCATTATGCAAATATCAAAAAAGTCAAAGTCAGTCATTGATTTCTGCATTGGAAAAGACAGTGAAGGTTGGAGTGTAGAAAGGTTATAGGAAGGGGACTCTGACCACTTTCCGGTCTTGTATTTTAGTCCTTTCGTAGCAGAAGAGAATGGGTTGTTTAGAAAAACTAAATGGAATTTATTCAGCTTTTTCTTAAGTAGTGTGCATCCATACTGGAATTCGTTTGTATATAATGTCGACTACAATTGCTTTTTTGAACTATTTTCACTATTTCTCGCTGCATTATGTGATCGATGTAGTGAATATGAATCAATTAAAAATTATAGACACCATATTTAGTTAGAATGGTGAATAAATAAATTTTTATTGTCTCAATCCATTATAATTCTAATGCGAGAAAAATCAAGAAAATACACTCGTATTTCTCAGTGTTCACTATGAATCTCAATTTTCTATATCAAGTTTTATCGTAAGTTCAGATTAGATTCTGAACAGAATTGTTTTTGTTAAGCACCGGTACCTTTATACATCACATCAGCAAAGTTAATTTAAAAATTATCCGAATTTATAATGGAACAGATGAACTTAAAAATGTGTAAAATCGTTTTCCCTATAAAATCCAATCGAAATTAAGTCGAAAAAACAGTGGGTAAAAATCGAGGAAAATTGGTACTCCTCTTTTGCTCAATCACTTGTACAACTTCTTATAAATATTGTTAATGAAACAGCTTGAAGCTGATACAGTTAATTTTAAACGATTTTTCTTATTTTCCATTCTACTCATACTCTTATGATTTCAAAGTAGATCATACTTCAAGGTTAGTTGATAATTCGGTGTAAATTTGTTACTGTTTGGTCTTCGACGCTGTGTAGATGAGGAAGTCAAAATAAAACAACTACATTTAGTTAGTAGCTCTACCTTTTACTTTCAAGTGCATCACTTAGCATTCAAGGTACCTAATTAATTCCACTTAGTAGTGGGAACTTTGATCCTAAGTTACTCATGCTAGACATAAGAAGAAATTGGTGTAATAATTGTTTCGTTTGGAAAGTCAAATACAATGCAGTGCTTCACAATTTTCTTTACAGGGATACATAAACTTAACGGACACAGACATTGTTCTGATACAAAGAAAAATGTGTCCAAAGGTTCATGTAGCTTGCTGTAGTATTATGAACTTTTAAAATAATCACTGAATAATTTTCAAATTTCTGAACGACAGCATATGTTTCATCATTATGTCTAAAAAATACTTGAATTTGACCGAATAACTTTTTACACAAACTAATTTGTTGGTCAGATGATCATTTGTCGGAAAGTTCTGGTTAGAATTGGTAGAGAAAATCGGAGATGATGTGAGATCTTAGAAGATGATACTGTAAACAAAACACCCAATAAATTATTTTTCGGGTACTTTCTAAGCCAAATCAACCATAACAATGAAATGTTTGCATTAAGCCCTTGAGTATGAATATATTTTTTTAAAAAAAGATAACTTCGCAGTTGTTTTTTTCAAGAAGTCGTGATAAATATCATTGAACGTTTCACGTGCAATACCAGTTAAGTCACAAAAACGCCCTGGCGATTTTGGCAAAAACTTTTTTAGTGTGTAAAATGCGTTTTTTAAAATTGTAATGACTAAGTCAATAGTAGAGAAGTTTTGTAGAGAATTTAATTCTTTATCCACTGATATACTTTCTGAAACTTTTTAAACAGCTAAATACGTCAGTAAATTGAAATAAAAAGCGTCTAAGTTCTTTTTTAATTTGAATTTTGTATTTAACAGTTTGAGTTTCGTTCGTTTTAAAGTTGATATTCGTAATCAGCGCAAAAAGCTGCGTCTATTAATGTGCTTCAAAGACTGGTTTAAGCGAAAAAATATCGCTCAACGCACCGCAGCTAAGGGTAACAGTTACGCATTCTAGCCGTCTTCCAAATTAATCAATCAATCTTGATATGATGGATAAACGTATAACAGTAAAATATGTAAATAAGACGACTTGTGCACTAAAAATTGTAATTGTTCTCTTCGTCTTCTTCGTATCTGATCCATTATACAGTACAATAGATGTACGAAAATGTAGAAACGATTTAGTTTAAAAACGGGAATGAGTCTAAAGTATTGTGCAATATAAATCAGACAAAAGACGTTCTTTTTCTCTGATTTCTGTGTACGTGTCCGAGCCATAGATTATTTTTGCCATGTAATATGTTATGACGTTTACGTGTGTGAAAAGGAGGACTGTTAACGAATGACGTCATCCAAAAAAATTCCGGTGTTTTCCCTTATGATCTTTTGTAAAATTTTTTATTCAATATTGTAAAATTACTGTTACATAAGGATGTGCAACAGAAAAATTTTTTATCAAGTGAAAGATCAAACTTTTATTTTATAAGTCTGAACTGATTGCCACTTGAAATGACATATTTTGACAGTTTTGGCCAAAACCAGCAGGTAAAAGTGCAACATACAAAAACTAATTTTTCCATTTTAATGAGCTACCAAGAACGAATTTTTTGGTGAAAAGTGATAGTAGTAGAAAACTCATGAGATATATCTCATTCGGCTCTATTTTTCACACACATTCCGAATATGACCTTCGCTTTTGTCTGAAATACTGTTTTAGTGGCGAAATTTATAAAATACCACACAAAACCTGCTGAAAATCACTGAAATCGCGCATTCTATCCTGTTGTACAAGTGTTTTCTGTTCTTTTTTAGTACTGGGGTCAAGTCTAGCTGGGTTCCTATCTAGGTCATGTAGGGCGAATACCGTCAGAAAACACGATTTTCATCAGTTTTGGCCGATTTCCAAAACAGTTTGAGCTTTTGTCATTTCTCTAATTTTATGTTCGGATTCAGCATAAAATTCTACATCTGAATCACTATCTATTTTAGTTTTCCGGTGCTTCCTTGGCTAGGGGACCTCGAAATATCCTTTTGAGCGGAAAACAAGAAAATTAAGGTAAATTGAAGATTACACCTTATCAAACCATATCAGGCTCTTCTAATACGGATATTCGTGATCAACGTGGTCGATTACATACTACCAGATGGGTTTGGAAAAAATTAAAACTGAAAAGTTCTATAGAGGAGACCTCGGGCCTAAAATACCTGACTGAGAAATTTCACGAAACTAAGTGTTGAAAGACAACAGTTCTTTTGCTTCTTCATTCTGAGAGAAAGTCATCGTCTGTATTTGTACTATTTTAATGTTCTGTTATATACGAGAAAATCCAACAAAATATGATGATTTAAGTGTCACCAAACAATCGCGCAAAGTTCAAAGAGTTAATGATATCCTTCAGCAAGCAGCTAAAAGGTACGCTTGAAAAGAATGTCATAGACTCAGATTTCGTAAACGTCCTACGTTTCTTCCTTTTCTATAAAACCGTCCTACTATGTCCTCCTTTCTGGATTTTCTCCTACTTTTCCTACTTTTTTAATTTTGTATTTTTAGTAAATTCTCGGGCAAAAAGACATTTTTCTCCTACTTTTCACTAATGAATCTTTTTAGTTTTGCGTTTAAAAACTGCACATGGTAGATACGAATGTCAAAACTTGCTATAAATTCTTTTCTCCTAACCGTCTAAAAATCATACATAAATCCACTCAGGGTACCTTTCACGAGCTTGTCTAACTTTGTTCTTAAAAAGATTTATTTTAAACGGTTAGGAGAAAAGAATTTATATCAAGCTTCAAACATTTATATAACTGTGAGAACGAATTAGAAGAATCCATATACATCTGTCTACACGGGCTTGCATTCAATTATCTATCCTTCTAATTATTTTTAAATAGACTAGGTATTTTACATTTGCAAAAACTAAGAGAAAGATTTGTAGTTAGATGTAATTCCAGAAGATTTCTTTTATCTTTGTCTGTTCGAATCGTTTATCACGACAAAATCCAGATCTTAAGCACCTAGCATTTTTTACGGTTTTAATTTTTGAACTAGACTTTGTCCGAAGTAAGTAAATTTTCTTTACAATCGCTTATTTAGTGAAGCCCAATCTTTGAAAGGTTAGCTCTTACTACGCGCGTAGTCATTGAAACTGTATATCTGAAACTTTTCTCTCATTGAAATTTCTTGCTTGAGTATTGCTTTCGATCCTATATCATACACAACAAATAGACCATCTGTCGAATAGAATCAACAAATTTCTCGTTTATGTTCAACTCACCGAATATTTGTGTGACCACTACACAACATAACAACAAAACATCGACATAATCATTATATTCTCTCACATGTAACTAAAGAATTGCTGAAAAGGCGCGATAACAAGAAAAAATACTCGGTAAGTAAGAGTGTAAATACAAGAGGTCGAATTGGACATTTTTTATTGGGCCCGATCCGCCCTGCTTTTTGGAAATCCTGAATCCATTTGACTCAGTTTGGTTGAGTCGAATCATCCGAAATTTCCATCCGGTTTCGAACCGTAATTACTATACTTTCTTCTCTAACTCAAACATTTTGGATGAACAACCAGTTCCTTAATCCACTATTCATATTATCAAATTTTTCAATTTTAACATTGATCCTTATCTATTTTGTCTCTCTTGGATACATTTTGTAACAACAAAGAAACACGTCGCCTGTAGCTTCAGATAAGCAATGCTCTTGATTGAAATAGTGAGATAAATGATATAACGGATGCACATGGCGTCTTCGTCTATGCTTTATGAAACGCATACTTATGTAAAGTATATTATTTATACCTTTACAAAAATGAATAGCTCGTGCAGAGGTTAGACATGTATAGTGTTATATCGTATTATGTTTTCCATGTGGACTAGTTCAAGGAAAATAATAGGAGCTTTGAATACTAGTGATGCGGGAGCATACCTGTCTGTTCATCCATTGAAACTCCAACTTAGAGGAGCATGTAAGACACTATCCAATATTATATAAACTATTTCCTGAAATATTGGATGCAGGGAGTGTCATGAAATCCAGATTTTTAAAATCCGGATGTTTTAAGTCCGGGAAGACTGTTTATCCGGAAATCCTACTCGCCCGTACAACTCCAGCCGGATGTAATTTCATCCAGACTTAAAAGTCCGTAAAATTTCCGGATAAATTTCCCCCGACTAACTTCGGTAAAAAATATTCTGTAAGAGTTTTTCACTTATTATAAAAAGCAATGCAAGTCCGATTGTTAATCAGTTGTATATTAGTCACTCCAAATGTACTTTAATAATGGAACTACTAGTATTACTATTATACGCTATGACATGCGGACTTGCATTGTTTTTCATTATAAGTGACAAACTCATCTAGAATTTTTCTCCCGGACTTGAGAGGTTTTTTAAGAAGCTGCCGGAGTTGATCGAGGAAATTCATCTAGAAATAAATCATCCGGATTCCAACATGTCCGGCAAATGATTCATCTGGACATGTTGGATTCTGGATGAATAGTTTTCGGGTGAGTTAAAAAAAGGATTTTAATAATCCGGATTTCATGACACTTCCTCCATGGATTGCATATATGCATGTCCTTAGAAAATTCTCACTGCACATACATGCTGAATATTGGTATTCCATTTGGATCGTTACGCGAAATGGCCGCATGGCGTTCGTTACTTATAGACTTTAGACAATATCTAAATCCAGGGCAATTTGGACTTGTCTATATTGCGTTGTCTAACTTCCACTGTCCAAAATCTGCGTAGCCAAATGCCTATTGTCCAAAAGGGAATTTACCCTGTAATTGTTTCAGTTGAAGTCTTATAGGATGTGGCAGGAGTAAAATTCATAGCACGATATTAAAAGCGTCTGGAACGCTCTCTGGTCTAATTATATTTAAATATGTATAATATATAAATAAAACTAGTTTATAATCTTGGTTATACCATATGAGTTTGTGGAAATTCCTTGTAATTTAATGTCGTCTGTAAAATGTATTTTCTGACTTTTGTTGTCCTCGAATACAGTCAAGTCTTCTTAATCTTACGGTTTGCAGCAGAAATTACTTTACCAATATCATTTCCTAAATTTAAAACATCTGGATGATTCGATCCCAGTGTCTGAGTGTAACATTCTAATGCTCTGTATAAACACGTTGATGCTCGAATATAATCACCTTGCCTATGATAAACTTTACCCATGCAATGTAAATTACATGCAATAGATTGATGATACGGTAGAAAAATCTTTTCTTTTCGTTTCAAAGCTTCATATAAATACTTAGCGGCATGATTATCATCACCTCGTAAATAACATAGTCGGCCCATATTATAGAAGCTCATAGCTATTTCTGGATGAAGATCAGTTAAAAGTTTTTTTCTTATGTCATATGCTTCTTTATAATAATTTGCTGCTTTTCCATAATCTTTTGTACTTGAGTCTGCATAAACATCACCTAAACCGTTGAGGCAACAGGCAATATTTAGTTCTTGATGTTCTAGCTGTCTGTATAACTCAATAGCTTGTGTATAATTGTCACGGGCAAGATCATATTGTTGTTGAGAAATGTAAGCACTGGCTGAACGCACTAATGTATTGGGCGTCACATATAAAGGATGTAAGACCGAACGCAACAGTTGGCGAGCCCTCTCTCCCCTAGTCCGGACTTGTCTGGTGTTGGCTGACCATCCCCTAACACTGGTAACAATTTACATGCTTTAAAAACGAAAAAAAAGTCTTCCGGCTGCGCAACTGAAAATGCAGTCCGAAGGAAAAGAAAAATTAAAATCTGTGAGACTATTTGTTGTAACTCTCTTATACTCCGGCTGTTCTTTCCAAAAGTAGACCTCTCGAATTTGAAGAGACAGGGTTTCTGGGACAAAAAAACTGCTTGTCGACAGGCCTCAGAAGACATTCATCACTCAAAAGTTTCTATCACTTTCAACTACGACTATGAGAGGATTGTTCTGATGAATTGATTTCTATCCTGTGTCATCCAGTGATGCGATGACATAGTGCCCCTTAACTCGTTAAAATAGAAAGAAATTGCCTTTGGAAACCAATACACCTAACCGTCTTTCTTTTTCGAAAATGCGTTTGCAATCTTCAAGGGTACACCGCGCTCGTTTTTTAAGTTTTTGGGATAGGATGAAGGAAGCATAGGCAGATAGGTCTGGTATTTTTTGCAAGAGGTTGAATTTTGAAAATAAAAACTAGCGTGCTTTTGCTTAGAAGTGTCTCGGAAGGTCTTCCGCAGGTTTTTTAATTGCCGTCCATCAAAAATTTCTGCAGAACAAAAATCTCGAGGGATCGTAATGGTCGGTAACGAAAAAGTTTGTTTCTCAAACAACCTGCGAAAGACCTTTCGAGATACTTCTAAGCTTCTAAGCTTTCTTTTTTATTTTCAAAGTTCTGCCTCTTTTCAGAAATACCAGGCTTGTCTGATACTTCCTTCGTCCCATCCCAAAAAGTTAAAAAAGAGAATGGTGTACCCTTAGCAAACTGATACTAAGTTGATTCTTTGTATATTCGAGGACATGAAATGTTAAAGAACTCCATTCTTCTAAAAGAACTGAAAACACCAGAGAACCAAAAATAAGCTAGAAAACTAAAAAACAAGCGTGACAGATTCTCAAGAGTTTATACGAGTTCTTCACCTAGTTTCTGTGAATGCTGCGAGAACAGAAGCTTGTTTTAACAATATCAACAGAGATGCCCTTTGTGAATCATCTCTTAGCTATACCATAGTTATTATTCAATAAATCATAGTACAGACGTGATTCTTCTAAATATCTTAGTGCTCGATCGACGTCACCAACTGATACGTAGGCATCACCAAGTGAAAAATAAATAATAGCTCGTTGATTATTTTCTTCTTCGCTCGATGACGGGAATAAATCTTCAAACATTTTATCATTATTATCATTATTGACACTTTTTCTATTTGATGACGGTAATAGAGTTATAAAATAATCAATTGCTTTTCTATATTCACCCATATTAATTAATAATCTACCAAATACAATGGTTTCATTATTACCACAAGATTCCTTACGTTCATAATCAATATACTCCTGAGCAATGTGCTCTCCTTCATCCGTTGCATGCATTTTAATTAACCAATAGATATCTGTACCATTATCATTCTTCCGTTCTTCTATTTCATCCAATTTAAACGTTGCACCTACACCGATTAAGATTTCAGCTTCGTTATCGATAGCACTCAAGCCAGATATATCAGCTAGAACAATTGATTTCAGTCTTAAATTAATTTTAATTTCATGTATAATTTTAACTTTAGTATCATTTTGTCTTTCATTATTTATATCGGCAAATGTTTCAGCTACGTCTCTCCTTAAACTTGTTGAGATGAAGCCGTTTGGTGCCAACAGATCACTGTCCTTTAGATTTATCTTAAGTTTATCCAGTTCATCCTTGGTCGATATAAGACCACGATACACTAAAATTGTTTGATCTGCAGCAGTAGTAGCTCGAGATGAAGTTTTGAATATGTTTGACAGTTCCACTAACGACAACCATAGATCAACAATATAATAACGAAATGCATACAGTAGCTGAACATCTTCAGTGCGCAATGCCTGATTGATGATCTTGTAGAGAAACCCCTCTTTTGTATATTCTCTAATCGCATTTTCTGGTCGATATTTCTCCTCAAACTCGTTGATATTTTTTAACTGTGCTTCATCGGTAGCAAAGTAGCTCCGACATCGAGTTAGTAATGCTTGTTTTGCTTCATTCGTACGATAGATCTTGGTCGGCATTTTGAAAAGTATATTTCTCAATAATTGAAACCAGATGAATGAAGCTGATTCTCTAGTCAAATTACGATTATAATTTTGTTTTAGTGTATAAAAACTCGACGGAGCGATCGTCGATTGAGCAACCGTCGATTGAACAATCATTGGCCGAGCAATTATCGATCGAGTAATTTCTTCTATCAAACTTATTTTTAAATCTTCTAGTTCATTGTGAATACCTTTGACTTTATTGTATTCAGCCATCAGCGATATATAACGATCACGAATCATGCAATAGATATAAACTGAATTAATATGTTGTAAAGAATGGCATTCCTTTAGAATATCTCTTGCACACGCTCCTGAAACAATTAGCACGATACTTTTAGTTTGATTTGGAATCGAACGAGTATAGTCAAGAAATAATTTTTGTGATGTATAAAAGACTACTTGATCAGTTATTTGTGATAGTGTACGTTTTGTTTCTACTGGTTCCGAATCCATATTTTCGTCAAACCAAATTAATACAGTTTCTTTTGGCGTCAATGTAGCTATGGTAATTTTACCCCTGTTGGTGTAAGTATCCGCATCATGAAAACTGCTATGACGAGATGGCTTATCCCCCATGCTATTACCCATGCTATACCTGTAATACTATGCCCATGCTATACCTGTAATACTATGCCCATGCTTGTAATCGCTCTTTGCCTCATGTAGTGATGTTTTTACTTGTAGGTAGCGTGTGATGTTTTTACTTTTGTTTTCTTTCTTTTTGAATATATGAATGGATTGTGAAATTAGTAATAGACTTTTGTAAGAATTGAAGATAAAGCAATGAAAGATAAAAACAATCTCTTTTTTACCTCCAAAAAACATTTTGCTTGCTATTCACACGAATGCGATTGTCACACATGAATGATTTTCATTAGATGTTTCCAAATACTAGATTTTGTTTGCAAATATTTTCGCCGAAAAATCGAAAGTGTTTGCTTTTTTACTTCACACGTGGGTAAATCCATGGGTATCCAACCACTTTTCTGGAAAAAGTATTTTTTCGACTTTTTTCGTGCTAGCTAGGTGGGAAGTGGTCAGAAAACAGGTTTGGGTGGAAAAATTTGTCGATTGTCACCTAAAATGGTGGCGACTCCGATTGTTGAATGTTTCAATTGAAACATTCTTATCTCGGTCAAAGCTCAATAAAAAAAAGAATCTTTTGGAGGTTGTGTTAATCTAGTGGCTTCCTACTAATGGGCAAAATATGAGTTCAAAAGCTTGTAATCACTCGGGAGCCCTCGGCAGATGTTCCTAGAAAACGATCGGGATTGCCACCATTTTAGGCGCAAATCGGCAAACTTTTCCAACCAAAGCTGTTTTCTGACCATTTCCCACCTATCTAGCACGAAAAAAGTCGAAAAAACATTTTTTCCAGAAAAGTGGTTGGATATACACGGATTTACCCACATCAATGACAACTGAATAAGATTGAGTGATGCTACCAGCGTACTCCACTAAGTGTTCCTAAGGCGTATCTAAAAGAACAGAGTTCGATTTAATGTTATAGGTGCGGTGCATACATTAAAATGAATCTCGCTGGGGTCCAGGCGGACCCAGGTGGACAACAAACGTTCGCATGTACTTTGAGCTACTCAATCATATAAACAACGATTCTATTTGACTGACTGATGCTATCGATGTACACTACTAAGTGTCCCTAGGGCGTATCCAAATAGACAAAGTTTGATAACGTGTTATCTTTATATAGCAACAAAATCAAATTCGTTGGGGTCTGGGGGACCCCAGGTGGTCCTGTCAGGGTCCACTGATAAGCCGGTGATATCCCTGGTAGGATCCCAGCTTCATTCGTGGCAAGCATACAGGCTCACCTTGCCGCGATTTTGAGAAGAAATTTGAAATTTAACGCCAGCTCGCTACTCTGACCGCACCTAATCTTGCTGTTTTTTCCGTGTAACGGAAACTTAAGAATCTTGACGTGAGAAAATTTTGACACGATCGCGTTAAGATGTATCAATAGTTTGAACGCGATCGTGACAAGAGCTGAACAAGTCAGCTACATGATTTAAACGGGATTCTGGTACGATCGTGATATTCTAGCAGAATTTTCTACAGCGCTTCTCATAAAGGCTATAGTCGGTGTCAGCATGAATGAATGCTCCTTTTTATTAGCTTTAAGATTACAAAGATGATACCATTCTTTAGTTTCATTACAATTTACCACCGCTACTTTTTTCGTTCTCGCGGGTATTCAAACACCAACCCTTATAGTTTTATTTGCGCGTTTTTTCTTAATAGAAAAGTACTACAAAATCGATTTAAAAATCATAAAAAGTAAAAAATCAATTATATTAATATCCTCGCTTAAAACACCTACAAGTCAAATAATTTTTCATTTTTACATAAACTAATCTATAATCAATTTCTGCACATTTAACAATAGTATAACTGTCATTAACATGAAGGGAAACATCCAACGCACAGGAAACAAAACGGTGTGGTGTATCATTTTTTTCTTTCTCTGTTGCTCACAATCATTTTTCTCTCTAACTGTTGTCCAGTTTTGGTCCAGTCTATACTTTATTATAATGAAAATAGCTTCCGAAAAAGATAGTTCATCGGCTTTTAAACAACAACAAAGAAACACATAACTTTGGTTACAACTTAGGAATATGACGGACGGATTGATTTATGTTTTGAATCCAGGTGACAATGAAACTGTGAAATTAGGTTTTTTACCACCGTAAAAATCGATGAACGTAAACGATTTTTTACGGTAGCAGCATGAAGTTAGAAAAACACAGATATTCATCTTTTACAATGATGTACAGCAAGTTTCTGTTTCACTATGAACAAGAATATTTTCCAGATAACATCATATTTAACAAAGAAAGAAATAAGAGTATGTAAATAAATTTTTACAATAACATCTAACGCGTACAAAAATGGAAACAAGGAAACAAAGTGAAGTCACTTCACGTTGAGTCTAAGTTATTCTACAATAATTAATCAATAGTAATTCACAACTGTTAGCCGGTCTTCTTAAAATGATCATTTTGAGAAAAAGCTAATCAGTAACTCTCACTGCGCATGCAAAACGTTACTATTTTTAGGAATCTCCTACTCATATTAAAACACTATTCCAGCACAGTTCATCTGTCCATTATCATCATGTCGAACATTCGGATCACCTCTGGACTCGTTCAACTTCTCTTGTAGTCGTTCATCTTCTACCGTATTAGCATTTTGCCTTCCATTTCGATTCAAACCAGATTGTTGAGGATGCTGTTAGCGTTTTCTTGCCGCTTCTTGAGTCAAGAACTGTGTCTCTCATCGCGAAGTAATTGGGTTAATGTTTTGCGCAAGATCGGCCAGATTTGTGTTCTGTCCATGCTCCTATCCTATCGATCTCTCACTGCTTCTAAATAGATAATTGTACACAATGATTCTACAATAAACTATACAATGTTTCACAATTAAGCATCGAAGAGAAATCTGGATGTTGTCTGTTTGCTATTCTACACAACAATTCTGAAGTGCATCTCCCAATTCAACGTTTTTCATGATTAGTACTAATGAAAAATTCAAACTTCGGAACTCAGCTGGTTGGAAAAAGTTCACCTAATAACGAGCTAAACTTTATAGAAGTGAAGATTTTTAGACCATTCGATAGTGTAGGACAATAACAATTTGCAAGAGCGAGATAAATGATTTTATCTTTGATTGTTTTAATTTTTTCGTCGTTAATAATTACTTCTCCATCCCGCAGGCCATGATAGTCGGCAAGACAACCATTGATTAATTCTTCTTTAGAAAATAAAACGCGTGCCACTTTTATTGTGTGACGTGAAGCGTCGGTGGCTGATATCGTCATCAAGAGCCTTCAGTATTTAAAAGTGACAAATTAGAGGAAATGTGAAGTGCTTTGTTTGACAAGGGCATTGACACAAACCATCTTTTTACGACTTGTTAGCGGTGTTCGTTTTCAAAGAAAAGCTTCCGTCAGTTTAATAAAAGAGACAGGAAAAGAATTGTCTCAGAGTTCGTATAGACTATGTATTTTTTGTAGCCGTTGCACGGTTGTGAGACAATAACAGCGAGTGATTGGTTTTTTTATTTTATTAACCTGACCGGTTGCGAATGCTTCTTCAGAGGTTAACAAAAAACTGTATGAAATTAAAAGGAACGTCTCTTCTTCTATATATACAAAAAAATATTTTTATACGTGGATATAAACTAGATAAAAAATGATGTAATTGAATGGAATGTCTTTCGATGTTCTGATGAATGATCGTTCTGCACATGATAGAACGTACACTTGTTTTCGTTCTATTGATTTGAATCCGTTATTTGTTTTCTTACTTGCCTAGGTAATTTTTGTTGCCTAAAAATGTCCTTATACTCCGGTCCGGAGTCAATTGTTCATACTCATGATTTTAAGGTGCAACCTGTCTTGGCTGCCCTTGCTGTCTTGCCGGTTCCGGTTGTCGCACCGATTCCATTCGTCTGAACTGCTTGTATTGTTCTATTGGTATAGCGTATACCGGTGGCATCTGAGGAATTTGTTGATGTGCCGACATCTTTCATAATAAGATCAATTTTTTGAATTTACTTGTCAAAGCAAATTTTACAATGACATATGCCAATATGAGGGCGACTACCACAATACACATGATTAATGTAATATCTCGCCCAGGCATGGGCGAGTCCGAGTCCGGACTGGAAGATTTTTTTGTTGGACTCGGACTTGGACTCGGACTGGAGATTTTTTTAAAGGACTCGGACTTGAGTTTTTGTATTTCGAGTCCGATCGATTCAAGTTTTAACATAAATGAACACTAAATTTTTTCTTTAGTTTTATTGTTCTGAGTTCGATGCAGTTCAACGAC